AGGATAGAGATTCCACCACCTTTCTAGGTAACTTGTTCCGGTGCTTCACCACCCTCCCAGTGAGAGAGTTTTTCCTAATATTCAGCTTAAACCTCTCGTGCTGCAACTGGAGACTGTTGCTCCTTGTTCTGTCATCCATCACCAAGGAGAACTGTCTAGCCCTAGTAAATGGTGAATGTACATAAAAAGGATGCGATCCACTGAACAAAGTACCTCCAGCAACAAGCCACAGAGTGCTGATGAAGAAGCAATGTTTAACACCAGGGGTAGGCAAAGACAGCCTGAAGGCTGGATTTGGCCCACTAAAGGATTCTGTCTGGCCCACCCACCCAAGCCAGGCATGGGAGGCAGCCTGGGCCATGGCACGTGAGGCCGGTTCTGCTGCCCCCAGGCATGCAGCAGGGCTGTAGTAATGCAGTGGCCAGACTATTTTGTGACAGCCCCAGTGGCAGCAGCTTCTTCTGGCAGCAGCAGTACCTGCCCCACTGCCCAGGCACCCTAACCCATCCACCCCGTACCAGCCAACAGGGGCAGGACCCACACTGTCAAGGCTATGGGCAGACCCGCAGGTGGGCAGGAAGCAGTGTCTGGGAGTGAGACGGGTGGGAGGGACCTGAGAGACTCCAGGATCTTGGGGCAGTGACACCATAGGGTCAGGCCTGAGGCCATGCTGCAATCCTCCACACACCCCTGCAACAGACACAGGTTCTGCGGGCAGGGGAGTCCCGGCCCCAGTCCTGTGCTATCCCAGGGCTAGGAAAGCCCAGCCACCCCCCGGGGATGCATTTTTCCTACTTCCCTCACCCTGACCAAACTGCTTTTAGCCCTCCAACTCCCCTAGCCCCAAGATGCCCCCCAAACCCACCAACCACCCTTAAAGACCCGCTAGCCCCTTCTGATCCCACACACCCCAATTTAGATTGCATTCCCAATGCAACTCCATGCACCAGGAAACGTGTGTACAAGCAGAACCAGAGCCACATGATCACAGATGGGGTCCTGGGAATGTCTGCACATGCCCTAAGCCAGTCTGATCCTTTGTTGCAAAGGAATTCAACACAAAACAAAACAAAAATACCTAGTTTATGGATCCAAGTAAGTATTCATATAAGATAATCTTTACAGGTCTAGGCAGCATGTTGATGTTCATAGCCATATAAAATGAAAGAAATGTGGATGCCCAGGTAATTACTGACAAAAAAAATTGGGCACCTATTCCATTACACAGCACCTGCACACAAGTCCTGAGAACTGACTATTTGGAATCTAACTAAATCCTGAATCAAAGTGCCGATTTTAAATACATAATGCCTATTGTGAATCTAGACAGAAGCTTCACAAGAAGCTTTTGCACCTTGGGCAGCAGTAACAGCTGCCAATCTTACGCAACCCCCCAAGTCAGTCACCTCTAATTATACTAAGGGGGGTTAGCCTTTACTGTCTCTGCTTCTCATTTCAGACTCCACCCAGCTAGTTCATTCCAAACAATCTGATATAACTCATTATAGGTCTTACGTTAAATTGTTCTGTAATGAGATAAATAACTCTGAAGTAAAGGGTGTTTATTTTTTCTTTACCCTAACTTTAAATGGGTAATTTGGTTTTCTGTAAGAATGTGTTGGCTAACAAGTATCTAATAGGAACCTCAAATAATGCTACCAAAAGCAATTTATCAGGAGAATATCTAAGCTATTATTTAGAGTAATGAGGCTTTCCAGCATTTTTTCTAAAACACATTCCCATTTACTCCTCAAACAATATTAGGAGCTACAATTAATCAAGTATTTAACTATAGCCAAAACAGAGTAGTCTCTTAGTATGACACCTGCAATTTCAGGTTTTCTTGGTAGCATTTGAATAGTTAACTTTGTTCTGCCATATTACAAACAGATTCCACATATCCCAAAACCTAACATTTGCCTTCACATTTGGCACGTAAGCTTTAGTTCTCTAGAATTTACTAGCCAAATCATATTAAGGAATTCATTTATCAGTTAATATACAGCCTCTTCTATTCAATACTATTAATACCACTTTGCAGTTGCAATATTCTACTGTTCCCATTGCCAAGAAATGTTGGGGTTTTTTTTACTGTTTTCATTACAGACAAGTCCTACTGGATTTTTCTTCCCATATTATATTGCCACATTTCAAATTTAGACAGTGTTCAGTAGTTCTCTAACAAAGTGTCATTATTACTTTAGGAACGTTTTACTACACACACATTTATGGCATGTTACTTGGGAACAAAATAGCTTGAAATAAGTTGCTGAAAACAACTGGGCTGCTGTAAGCAACTAACACCTCCCTCAAATGCAAGTCAGAACATACTGCTACATAGCCTCCTCTCTGCACGGTATATGAGCATCAACAAAAGAGTCAATACTACCCTGAATTAACTTTTTTACCTTGTATTGTTGGCACTACAACTATCTAGCATGAAGTATTACAGGACATAAAAACCATGCAGCTCTGGCTAATTTCCCCCCCACCCCCCAAAAAAGTCCAAAGAAAAGTACCAGACATGTTTAACTTCAATTTAAAGAGCAACCTTGCAAAAACATTAATAAAGCAAGGGCTAGACTTGTTTTTAAAGAAAAGCTAAAAAACCCACTGAAGCTGACACTCACTAAGGAAAGTTTTCTGTTTGCTTGTGCAAATAAGATTTGTCTGGCATGTTTTTAGTTGTCCTGTATTTTATGGCATTTTGTTTACCAAAATTCAGGTATTTTATTAGCTGCAGGGAGTTTAACTAAAATACCAAGACCTTCACTCTTCTGAAAGCAACCAGCAGTTTCACAATAAGCCTTAAAAATAAAAGTATTTATGGCAGAGAGATTGCTATGGAGTAGAATCTATCTTCTATGTCCTAAAACCAATTTCTTACTAGTTTAAAAAGCATGCATAGTTGCCAATTATTGTAAATGCACCAACAGGATATGGAGTTGCCTCATATTTACTTTCCCATTTTTCTATGGATGTCTGCTGCAGCATGAGGAGTCCGTTTCTTTCCTGTGTGCAAGCCAAAATATTTTCAATAGAAACAAGCAGCATCACTTGATTTCTGGCTTGAAAGACAATTCCATGACTTTTATTACCACTGTGCTACAACATATGCAGTTGACAGTTACTCAATCAATTCATACACAGTGCAAGAGGTAACTAAAGAAGGTAAGTTAAAAAAAGAAATAGAGCATAGAAATCATAAACCTCTGTTGAGTCATTCCAACCCTTTAAGAAAACTAATCAGTTTTGTTCCCTATCCAATATTTTAGTTTATTGATGCTTGCCATTGCTAATGCACAGTGCAACAGACTTCTACTACTAGCTGAAAACTGGATGTAGTTTCTTCTTATTACCACTTCTCCCTAAAATAGCAAGGATGAAGTCTGGTCATACCTATAGAGACAAGTAAGTGATAATCGTCCTAATTTCTAACAACGTGGCTAGTATGTTAAGAACCAGAAACTAAACACTTATTCCCTATAACTAAGTCACTAAGACTACAAAGCTAAATCAAAATTCAAAACTGAGAAGATAAAGGTGAAACAAGACGCATTTCAGTTTCATGGTTCCTTATCTTTTGATGTACACATGGCTGACTCAGTTCAACAGACATATAACTTAGTCTAAAATAAAGTAGATTGCTTACTTTGTAAGGTGCAAATCTACCCTAAGTAGATTTACACACACACACACTTTTTGCCCCTATAGGTTTAATGTTTGTTTGCATGTCTCCACCAGCACTGCCCCTCCCTCCCCTGCCCCCTTGTCCTTTGTGCTGTAGCTCCCCTCCCCTCACACCCAGCTTTCTGCAGGTCCTTTCCCGGAATCCAACGATGTGAGCTTCAGCTCATGCTACAAAGACAGACTAGACTTGAATTTCCACTTTACAGGTTAACCAATCTACCCTGCCTTTGATTCAGGGTACAACTCCTCAAGTTTTAGTGTTGATGACGCCTAGAAAACCCTGGGGGCCAACAAGGCTCAGCAAAAGGTTCTCCACAGGGTCTGGCACTTACGATAGCACCAGAGCAGAAGAAACACTGCACAGGGGTCAGACCAATAGTCCGTCTAGCCTGGGATCCCATCTCCAACCAGTGTTGCCAAGTGTATGGTAATTATATCTGTACGATAACTTCCACCCTTGTATGACAGGTCAGTCACCTTGCTGGGGTCACCTGACCCCCAGTTATGTTTCCTGTTTGGTGCAGAGGGCTGGGTCCGATTATCTTCAGAGGTCTCTTCCGGCCTTACAAGCTAGGTACGATGAATAACAGTAAAAGTGCTCAAAATGTATGATAATTTTTGAGGCAGCTCACTCATGCAGCACTCTCTGTGAGCCTTAACTGACTTTTAGGTTTGCTGTCAGCACTTTATGACTGCTTGCCTCAAAATGAAGAAACGCTTCAACCTGGATGAGCCCAGTTCTCACTAACTTACTGGCGAGTGACAGGGAGCAAGACAAAGTAATAAGAAAAAGACTTAATCGCACACTCATTTGCCTGTTGTTTCAGTCAGTCTACGATAATTTTTTCAGCAAGTACGATCATGTTGGGCTTCCCAGATAAGAATCTCACATATAAGACCTGGCAACGCTGCCTCGTGCAGCAGCAGAAGTGGGAGCTGTAGGACAGCGTCGAGCCAGGGCTCTCTGGAGAGGCCTGGCCCCATTTCCATGGGTGCTGCACCCCGGCCCGCAGGCGGGTGGACCAGCAGAGGGAAATTTGGCAGCAAGACAGCACTGGCCATTAATACCCTCCCAAATCCCCAAGCCCCGCGCCGCAGGTTCAGGGCTCGGCCACGTCACCTGTGCAGCCTGGGGCCAGGCCAGGCCCGTCCGCTCAGCAGCTGCACGAGCCGCGGCCGAGAGAGAGGCATGGCTGCCGCTGGCCGGTTACCGCCCCCCCGGCCTCCCCCACACAACAGCCTCCCCGCGGCGAGATTCAGCCTCAACGCCACCGCCTCCCGACCCCCGCCCAGGAGAGCCGGCCACGCACCTGGCTTCCGGCTGCCGCGAACAGCCCGGCGCGGGGCGGCGCGACAGTTGCCGTAAAGCGCGGAAGCGCAGGGGGAGTTGGGGCACGGGGAACGTGCGGGTCCGTGTGGCGCTGCCCGCGCCACTCTTGCCCCGCCCCCTCCGAGAGCGCAGGGCGGCGTGTCTCGGACGTGTCCCGGCGTCAGAGCAGCGGGGACCTCTTGGGCGCTGGACCCTCACTGTGAGCCCTGACACAATTCACGAGAGAACGCCCGGAGTCCACGTCCCTGTGCCGGCCCACGGCGGGGACCCTGCTCCCCACAGCCCCTGCCACCTCAAGCGGTGTCCCCCGCCCCAGTCGTTTGATCTAGGAGTCATTATAACTCAAGGGGGAAAGAGAGGTTGTTTTCTCCTGATGTTTCCTCACCTCGGTGGTTCTGTCCTTTTTTTTTTTTTGGATTCCGGTCACCCATCAAGAAAATGCCAGCTCTGAGCTTTCGTTTACTTTTTTGAGCCCAGAAAAATAGGAGAGCAGCTCTTCTGTTGCAACGAACTCGGGAAAGCCAGGGTCCGAATGGCTTGGGTGTGGTGCAGGCCTTGGGGGTTTTTCCTCTGCGACAACCTGCGTGATCTCTCAGGTGTGTATTAACAAACTTTATATAGAAGCTGGGTGCTGTGGTCCCTCTCTTTTAACCTGTGGCAGGGGGGGGGGGGGGGGGGGGGGTCAAGATTGTGCGGGGTTGATCAGAGGTTTACAACGAGTACAGATTACAGATTTGTCTGGCAGGGTATAGATAGGGATGATCCTACTCTCCACCTCTTACAGGCTCTGTCCAGGCTGATGTTGGCCCTTGTCCCATTCATACTGTGCTATCCTCTCCACCCCAGAAATACCACATCACCCTCAGGGAGTGCAGGGTGATGAGCCCCTCCGGCCTCGAGCCAGCACTGCAACAGGGCCCTGGAGCCCAGGCAAGCCTGGGAGAAGGGTGCCCGGATCACCTGCAGCTAGGGGAAGCTGCTGGGACCTGGTGCTGCCAAGGGAGAGGCTGAGGTGGGTGAGGCAAGTGCCAGACTGCAGCATCCCTTTTCCTCTTGCTCCCCCTTGGGACCAGTGAGCTAGAAATTGACCTGCCTGTGGGGAAATGACAAGAAAGGAATGTTTTAGAAGTTCCTTGACCAACGAACAAGGCCTGGAGCTGGACTCTTGGTTTTGCCCTTCCTGCTACCTTTTTTCCCAGTGACCTGAGGCCAACTGGGCTCTGTGAGGAAATGGGAATAAAAATGCCCTGTAGGTGCCATGTACTGGGCATGCTCCAGTATCATCAGTGCCCTCCTGGGTCAGCCCCATGGGCCACAGAACCCAGGGACCCATCCCCACGGTGGGTGGTAGGAGGTACTTTGGAGAGAGAGTCTATGAACAGGAGTTTCTGCAGTGACCCATCTCCATTATATACTCCCTGGCATGCACCAGTGCTGGTTTGGGCTGGCAAAACACAGCCCTGTCTGCTCTGTTGGAAGCTCTCCAGAGCCCTGCCCTCCATGACTGCCCAGTCCCTTTTGCCCCAAGTTCTACTCTCTGCCTCTGCCACCTCCCACAGCAGCAAGTTCCCAGTGTTAACACCATAACAGATAAAAAAGCACTTCTTCTGGTTTATCCTCAGAGGGCCCCTGGGTCTTGTGGTCTGAGACTAAGGGAATGACTGTTTCCCTCTTACTGTATTTTCACGCATATAGCCCACACACGGATATAACCCACACCCATGCGTAACCTGCGGAAAATTGCATTTTTGCAAAATTTTCCGTGCATACCGCGCACCCTTGTATTCCCCGCACCCCCGGGTGAGGAGGAGACGCAGCCCCCCAGCCTGCCCGCGCCGCTGCCCTGCACCCCAGCCCCCATGGCAGCGGCAGCGCAGCCCAGCCCACCCACGCTGCCGCCCCCTG